GGTCAATTTGCATCTTTCTCTTTTATTAGATAGGATTGAATATCCAGGCACACATTTTGGGGTGTCTTTTGATGTTACTTGATGCTACCAGCGTGATCTTCCTAAAAGTTTAATTTTTTTATTTTTTATTGATTTCAGAAAGGAAGGGAGAGGTAGAAGCATCAATGATGAGAGAGAATCATTCATTGGCTGCCTCCTGCACACCCCCCACAGAGGATGGTGCCTGCAACCCAGGCATGTGCCCTGACTGGAAATCGAATCATGACCTCCTGGTTCATAGGTTGACGCTCAACCACTGAACTACACAGGCAGGGCGTAAAAGTTGTTTTTGAATAATGACTTCAATGTTGTATTGTTGGCTATAGAATCAATAAATTCATTCATTCATTCATTCATTCATTCAATTATGCTCTATTAAATAAGCATGAAAGTTGTCTGTGACCTTAGTTGAATCTAGTTGTCCAGTGTCCCTTCATGATCTTCCTCTTCCCCCAGAGTATTTTTTGGTATTGTTTACCCTGAACTAGCTTCTGTTTTCCACATTTTGGCATGCATTTCCTCTATGCATTTTCCTAGGCTTTATTGCTCTCCTCCCTTCTCACTCTATTCTTCTGTGTAATTGTCTTCATCCTGCAAGGTTCAGGTCAAATACTGACTCCTTGGTTAAGATTTTTCTACACCACTATTCAGAACAAATGACCCAACTATTCTTAAATCTGTCGTCTTTTTTTTTAGCTATATCCACCAACCAGAAGCATCATATTATGTATTAAATCACATATGGTGTGTCTCTTAATCCACAAAACAAACAAGAACAAAACACAAAAGCTAGAGCCAGTTTTACTATTTCCATTTCACAGGTAAGAAAACTGAGGCCCAGGGGGGCTTATGTAATTTCTCAGGGTTACGGAATTGTTCAATTGCAGAACTAGAATTCAAACTTACTGACTCAATTGGCTGAAATCTTAAATGTCAAATTATGTAATCTTTTCCTGTCGAGCACATTTGTGTGTACCTTCCATAGTCATGAAAGATCTGTCCCCACTAGATTTTAAGCTGAGAGACAGCTCCACAATCTCTGCACTGATCAGGATGCTTACTACTTCTTTGCTAATTGATTTGTTAAATTTATATAGTTTAATTAAGGTTAATAAAGTATACCATTTTCAATAACGTTCTCTAACTAAGGTTTGTGATGTCAATGGGGAGAGATAAGAAAATTTACATCCAATGTTTCCTGCCTTAAGACATAAAAATGAAATAAAATAAAAATAAAACTAGAAAGGGAAGACAGATGTACTACCACCCCACCAGCATAGATGGAGTTAAGAAATGTGTTTACCAATTCTCCTTTTCTAGTTAATCACTCTCTGTGCATGTCACTCACACATTTCCTGTTCCTTCCAGGTTAATGGGACTAATGTTCCCAAAGTTGATATGCACTGTGACCCTAGGTATTACCCAAGAAAGGAGGAGATAGAAGGATAGAAGCACTTATTGCATGGTAAAGTCTAATAGACAGTTTATTTACCTGGCACTCACTGCTGTAACATTCAGGATGAGCTCATTGTTTTGGCAATCAGTTTGATGCTATTTCTGAGGGAGAAATCAGTCTCGTTGTATTTCACAGTTCCCTGACCCCCATCCTCCATCTTCATGATACTCTGCTCTTCCTCCACCTCAGTGGAAGTACTAGCAATGACAGTTTTGCTAATGTGGCGATTTCCTTGTAAATTACCCAATGGAAAGAGTACGTTTTGGGTAGGATACAGAAATATTGAAAATGGGAATAAGTCTTTACCCCATGCCTCAGGTTCTACATACCACAGTGAAAAGGGGTTATAAGTTTATGATCTCCTTAAGAAAAATATCCACCAACAATATTTTAATATGGTTTTGGTAGGATATTTCAGAGGATCCAAGGACTTTCTTACTCATAAGCATAGTCATGGAGGATTTTCAAAAAAGATTTCTTTGCATGGCATAAGAGGCCCTTTCTCCTTTTCCATCTATGTCCTAACCACTTGTACTGAGTCCTTTTTGGCCAGATGTCATTCCTCACCTTATGGTCTAGCAATTTCTGACCTTTTTGGTAGTTTGTGGAACTTTGAGCCTCTCCTGCCTCAGTGCTTTTGCATATTCTTGGTTCTCCAGGTTTTGCCTGCAATGCATACTTATCACCAACCTTTAAGACTTGGCTCAAGTACTAAGTCCTTTGAGGATCCTTTCCCATGTTTCAGGCCAAATTAGGTTTTTCTTTCTGTAGATTCCTATTAAAATTTATAGAAATGCCCATCAAATTGCGCTGTAATTGCTAGTTTCTGTCCTTACTTAACAGAGTATCTTAAAGGCATAAATATTGCCTATGTATTTTTTTGGTATTTCTATGGTCTAATATGCAAAGGAACTCACAAATTTTCTGTTTAATACATGGCTGTAATATAGCTCTCTATTTCAATAGCTTGGTTGTATCTGATTTCAGATCACCTGAGTTGATGCCCTACTTCTACTACTTAATAAGTTGTGTGATATGACACAAGCCATGTGTCCCTGCAGCTTCCATGACTATGTCTCCAACCAGCTCCATATTTTTACATGTCTTTAAAGGCACAAACTCCTGGGAGAGCGCACTGAATTGGCTGAATTTAAGTCACCTGTCCCCTTCTGGCTAATCTGGGCAAGGAGAGGAAGATCTGTGGTGGGAGTCAACCATTTCCTTTAGGACCATATCACTTGAGGGTCTCCACAAAAGGAAGGTAAGAATGCAAATAGTGTGGCTGACAGAGGGGATGTGAGAAGGGAAGTTATTATTTCATGGGGAAGTTGTTGTTTAATGGGTACAGAGTTTCAGTTTTGCAAGATGCAGCATTCTGGAGATAGTTGGTGGTGATGGTGATGGTACAACAATGTGAATGGACTTACTACACTGAACTGCACACTTTAAAATTAGTTAAGATGGTAAATTTTATGTTATGTGCATTTAATTGCATTTTTTTTTAAATTTAAGATCAAGTTAAGAAAGAAAGGATACAAATAGGCAAGGGGATATTGACCGTCAGAAAAATGGTCAATGTTATTATGTCCATATCAGGGACCAAAAGAAGTGCTCAGATGTCATTTCTAGCTCTGGGGGCTCCAGGGTACTTTGATGCTGTGGTCTTAGCAAGTCACTTTAGCTCTCTGAGGCACAGAGTTAAGACCAGGTTCTTCCTGGTCAACCACTGCTCTGTTTCTGTGGCCTGATGCTGTGTAGCTCTTCTGGTTGCTCTCAGTTTTCCAGGTCTGCTCTTTCAAACTTGTATCAATGAAATGGGGCCCTAATAACTCCCCAGTAAATTCCTTTTCTACCAGAGTCTATTTCTTTTGAATAGAAGCAAGAACCCTGAGCATACAGATATTTACTTAAACAAGCCTTCAAGGAGATAGCATGGGAGGTTCCCAAAGAGGGAAAAATACCCAGAAGAAGATTTGGGACCCTTGTGAAGTTTTCTCATCCCACATAGAGATTTTCTCTAAGAGACACACCTTTAATTATTTCTTGGAAGGTCTGAGGTTTTATTTCAGTAATTTGTGTTAGTCATCCTTGAAGATGATAAAATTTTAGAAGTTTCATGTGCTTCCTCATGCCTTCTCTGATATCTTTCATCATGGCAATGCTTTTCTGTCATTTCCCACTGCCCTCCTAATAGGTATCAAACTTTCTTCAGTGTTCTGTTTACACTCTATCCCTCACCCAACTGTGATTTCTTTGGAAAAAACATACATTCTATATTAATCATATATGTACGCTTATATGTCCTCGGAAGTTGCTGTAATCTAGGAAGTCACTAATAAAAGAATTAATGAATGAAGAGAAAACTGAATGAGTGAATGAATTGCTTAGTGTAGTCAGTCTGGTCTGGAGAAAGCTACCAAAGTCTGTTCACCTCTTGATTGATTTCCCTTTCCCCCTCAAGCTTTCTGGACTGCTGACTTCCTTTTGAAGTCCCATGACCACAGTCAACGTTTGCACCATGGCTAATAAATTAGCATCACTTTGAAAACAAAAATGATTCCATTTTGCAATTGGAATGTGGTTTTCAAATTAGAAAGGGCAGGGGTGTTATTTTCCCTGAGGCCTGGAAAGTCTCTTGGTGTTTTATTAGGTAACGGTTTCTGTTTTTACTGGATTTGCTGGTCACTAACTAGTTCCTGGGAGCCTGAATAAATGCCAAAGTTAAAAAAGAAACCAAAATGCTCCCCACTACCTAGAGACAAAATAACCTCTTAACCAAGAGGTATCTACCATTGAAATTAGAGGCATCTATGATTGCAATTCTGAGCATGGACTTTTTAAAGGGAAAAGGCAAGAAGAAGTAGGGCATTGTTAAAGACAGGGCTAGAAGTTGGTACCAGGTTCCCTTACTGTTGGCCCTGCTTGCGGGAAAGTGCTAGAAATTAGGAAAATAGAAATAATTTTTTTCTTATTATGTCTCCTACCTTAAAAATATGTATTTCAGGGGGCAACCAGTTAATGGGTTTTCTTTTCATACTGTGAGATTCAGGAAAACAGCACAAATTTTTCAGAAACTTGGAGGGAGGGGTGATTTGATGCCACAGTCATGGTCTTGTTACTTCAAAACCTATGTTGGGTTCTTCCATGAATCATCCCCCCTGTTATGTTGGGAACCAGAACAGTTCTGTGTCCTGAAACATGGTGTAGTGGTCAAAGCATTAACTCAGGGATTAGAAGATTTAGGTAGAGCTCCTATCCCAACCTTTCAGAGATAGGTGACTCTAGATAAGATAGATAATATTTCTGAGTTTTGGTTCCTGTAAGGGTTAGATAAAATAGTGTGAAATTGTGCCTAAAACATGGAGGGTCATTGGTTTTAACTTCTCTCTCTCGTTATGATTTTAAGGGAGTTGGGACAAGAAGGGTTGAAAAATAAAGGTCGAAATTCTGTATATGCTACCCATGGTCTCTAGAGAAATGTGCCCAATTGATTTTGACTATTACTGGTAATTGAGAAATACTGAGAGGGGGTTCTTCTGTGAAATAAGAAACATGGCAAAAAAAGTTATTCTCTGACCTGCAAATCAAGGATGCTGATGGCTGTCCTACTTAGCTACCTACCTGCCTATGCATTTAAAAGCCACAGAGGCCGTAATCTATTAAAATATTTGGTAGGCAGAAAGACATCATCACAGTGGAAGAGATTATAAGAATACTAGTGGCCCAGTGCATGAAATTCATGCACATTAAAAGGGAATTAATTAGAGGAAATATTTTAATATTTCTATTTGCCCTTTCTCTATAATAGAAGTGTCAGAGATGAAAGAAAATTAGTAAAATGTATATGAAAATCTCCCTCCTGTCAGAGTCTGAGGAGTGCCACAGAACCCAGAGTCAAGTCCCCGCCCACCCACATGCACCTCAAAATCGCGCGAGACCCAGACCCGGCCAGCCCCACCCCCGTCAAGCCTCACAGGGCAGGGGGTGCAGCCTCAGGTCTTCTGTCAAGACCCACTGGGGTCGGGGGTGCAGCCTCAGGTCCTCCGGCACAGCCTCAGGTTCCCCTGGCCCTGGCACCAGGGTGTGAGGGCACGAAGGTGCAAGGGCGTGAGGGCGTGAGAGCCATTTGCATATTAGCTCTTTATTATATAGAATTATGGGGGAGAGGAATGGTTATTTGTCCCTTTGCTCCCCAGTTGATCTCCTAACAACCCTTAGAAAACCCCTGCACCTTCACAGTGAGGCTACAAAGTAGGGAGCAGAGAGACAAATCCAGGCTTTGGTGACAAGCAGACTTTGATTCAAA